TTGTTTTTCTATCATAGCCATTGTTCTTAGTGATATTTCAGGCTTTTAAAAGCTGAGACAGTATAGTGTTCAGTATTCTTTAGTTCCTGTTGAGATCGAAGTGGAATGTTAGCTCTTCAGAATTGTAGAATGGGACCAAAACCAAACCAAACCAAATCCCCCAAATGCTAAATATGACATCAAAGTCCCTCATCAATATACATTCCGTCATCTGACTTTTATTTATCACACTCTTCTGTGCTTCGGTAGGGTTGACTCAGCACAGTAGTGAGAACATTGCTAATAGTAAACCCAGTACCAACCCACGATGTCCTTGTTTTCCTGAGAGAATCAGCAGCAGCAGTAGGCAGGATGTGGACAGATGGCCAGAAAGGCAAGGTTTTAAAAAAATTCAGTCTCTCTACTGTTACATCCCAAAATCTTGAGAGAAAGGACAGAGACCTTCAGAAGTTCAAAGATGTTACTTTATTGGCCAAAGTTTTACCTGCGCAGGGGCGAACTCTCGGGGTGCCTCCGGATGCACCAGTGCCAAGATGGCTGCAGATGAGAGTCGTGCCTAACGCTTAAAGGCTAGGGTTCTTACAGAAGCGAGCAAGCAAGCAACTTCCAGAAGCAAAAGGTGGCAGTTAGCTATTGGCTCAGGGGTTTATGCTAGGGCTCGTGATCTTGCTGATGATTGGCTGGCAGGACTCATGAACAGGTCGTGCTCAGGTTAGCCATTGGCCTAGGGGCTCATGCTAGGGGTAAAAATTTTCCCCCCTAACGGATGTTCCAAGAAGCTATCTGCTTGATCAATGTTCCAAGAAGCTATCTGCTTAACTTCCTGGAACATTTGCCTGGGGGTGGGTGTGGTCCCCCACCCAAGCTTGAGCAAGCAGCTAAGGTTGAACAACTTAGTTTTCTTAAGACTATTTCCCTTAGCCCCTAACATCTACCATGATAATAAATAATTACAAGCTTTGGTTATAGGATTGGTTTTTATCCTTTATAAGAGTTAAAACCTCAGCCTCTAGCCTCCCAATTTTCCCCTTTCTGTTTTGCTTTTTCCTTTTTTTTTTTGGTTCAACCAAGTTTTCTAAGTCATTTTGATTATAAAATTAAATCTGGTCTTTATCTCTAGGATACATTTTGTGATAATAAAACATTTTAAAATCCAATATCCGAAGACTTTTAACATAATGCAATCAACCTTCCATCAATTAGTGATGCTAGGTAGGGCCACAGCATTAATCCATAAAAGCAAATTAAGTGCTTTAATTTTTAACAAGAAAATTTTCTTGTATCTCTGAAAATGATAAATAACTTTGAACTACAGCAAAATTGATTGGTCAATTTCAGCAACATTATAAATTTGCTGATTTTATTTTATTTTTTATTGAATTTAGTGGGGTGACTTTGGCTAATAAAATTATATAGTTTTCAGGTGTACATTTCTATAACACATCATCTGTATGTTGTATTGTGTGCTCATCACTCCAAGTCAAGTCTACTTTTATTACCATTTTTTCCTTTTGTGCCCTCTACTACCTTCGCCACCCCCATTTCCCTCCGATAATCATCATACTGTTGTCTATGTCTATGAGATGTCTTTTTTCTTGATTCTTTCACCTTTTGCACCCAACCCCAACTGCCCTGCTCATTGACAGCTAGCTGTCAGTGTGAGTTCTCTGTCTCTATGAGTCTGTTTCTATTTTGTTATTTGTTTGGTCCTTAGATTTCTCATATGAGTGAAATCATATGGTACTTGTCTTTCTCTGACTGCTTACTTCACTTAGCATAGTCTTCTCCAGGTCCATCCATGCTTTGGCAAAGGGTAATTTCCTTCTTTTTTATGGCCATGTAGTATTCCATTGTGTAAATATACCTCAGGGTTTTTGTACACTCATCTACTGATGGACACTTGGGTTGCTTCCAAACCCTGGCCATTGTAAATAACACTGCAGTGAACATAGGGGTGCATATATTCTTTCAAATTAATGTTTTGGTTTCTTCAGATATAATCCCAGAAGTGGAATCACTGAGTCATAAGGTAGTTAAATTTTTAATTTTTCTGAGGCATCTCTATACTGCTTTCCACAGTGGCTGCACCAATCTGTATTCCACCAACAGTGCATGAGAGATCAGAGGTGTATTACCAGATGTCAGATTATGGGAGCAGGAATTGGAGGAAGGTGGTCAAAGGGAATGCACTTTCAGTTATAACATAAATAAGTATTAGTAACTGTACATATGATGACTATAGTTAACACTGCTCTATGATATATAGGAAAGTTGTTAAGAGGATAGATTTTAACAGTTCTCATCACAATGATACAGGGTGCAGACAGGGGGGCCCCCCAAAACAGATTTGGAATGGTGTCCAGAATTCAAAGTTTATAGAAATATTGGAGAGACATATAAGATGTCCTCACCGCCCCCCCCCCCTCAGGGGGAAGGGATAAATGGAGCCAGGCCATTGAGAGCTATTTTGCATAGCAACAGTTTTGGAGCTAACCTCTGGAGGAATGGTTATTTAACATATCTATAACCTTTAACTGGTTTCATAGATATGTTAAATAGCAGTGGCCAAGTTTGGAGACAGGTAGAAGGAACTAGCAGGGCCGGAGAGAAGGTTGTGGCGGGGACTCAAGAAGGGAGAAGGTTGTGGCAGGGACTCAAGAATGTAACTAAGGGCTGCTCTCTGGACTGAGAAGGAACTAGCGGGGACTGAGGATGGAACTAGGAGGACTCAAGATGGGAACTAGGGTCTGCACTCCGGAGTGAGGAGTGCCTGTGTGGGAGCTTGGAAAAGACTGGCTCCAGGACATGAAGGGTCCCCGCTTGGCCAGATGGGGAGAGAGCCACGCGGTTTCAGCAGAGTGAGGACCCCCTGTTGGTGAGGTGAAAGAGGGAGCCACGTGGTTTTGGCAGGGTGCGGATCCCCTCTTTCCCAGGTGAAAGGGAAAAACCACGCAGCTTTGCCAGAATAGAGATCCCTGCAGCCAGGTGAAGAAGAAAGCCACATGCTTTTGGTGGAGTGCGGACTCCTGCAGCTTTGGTAGAAGAGGCCCACGCGGCTTTGGGGTGCCCCCTTTGGCCGCGGGGCCTGAAAAGCAACAGAGACTTTGACTGGAACTGGGTACAAAGGACTCTTGCCAGTGGACCATGAGAGGGTACCACAGTACTTTGGATTAACTCGAGATCCTGCACAGTGACACAGCTGACGGTGCCAGTGGCCTGCAACACAGACGTGTGCTCTTTTCCTGATTTATGGTACCCGGAGTTGGGACAGTGGGAGAAGGGAGCGCTGTGTGGGTGTAGGTGTTACAAACTAAAGGACTTTAATATTTTAGTGGAGGCATTAGGCCTGAATAGCATTAAATAAACATTTTGTTTCCTTTTCACAAATCTCTGGCTTTAAGAGATGTCTTTCCAATTGGCGGCGGACAGAAGGGCCCAGTAGATTTTAGTATTTTGGTTTTGGGAGGGGCCCCTGTTGTATAGCAGTTTTGGGCATCCCTAGGTGGGCCAAATATTGTATTGCCCCTCCCTCGGACCACCTCCTCTTGTTCGGTAACAACAAGACAAAAATTATTTTTCTTTTTGTTGTTTCTATATGAGATGATAGATGTTAACTAAACCTATTGTGGTAATCATTTCACAATATATGTAAGTCAAACCATCCTGCTGTGTACTATACATTTATACAGTGATGTATGTAAATATTTCTGAATAAGACTGGGGGAAAAAGCCATATAAAAAAGAGGAACATAATTTTGAAAGAATTGTGGGGTTATGTCAAGGTCTTACTAACAATCTTAAATCCTTCATACCTGAATTTTATCATCCCTATTAATTCTCAAATTTGAGTAAAACCACATTGTACATTTTCAATCCCCTTTTTCTCTCTGAGTATTTCTAGAGAAATCCACTCTGTGCATTATTTGTCTAATCTCTGCCAAACACTTAAGGCACTTTGGTAGCCTTTTATTTGATTAAATTAGATATCTATTGATTTCCTATCAAATTTACCATTGTTTGTGAATCCTGTGTCACATCATGCAGAGGACAGGGAGTCAGGCACATCCAGGTGAGTCTCCTGAGAACTGCTGGAGGGCAAGAAGCTGGAGGGCACATCGCAGGGACCATATACTAGTAGGGACCCAGCGTCATAGCCTAGAGAAGAGATCAGAGTCATGACTTCAAACTCAGGAACAGATGGAGAGCTGAAATGAACAAATAATGGCAAAATTATCTGGAAAATCCCCAACTACTTGGAATTTAAACAATACATTCTGCATAATCTATATGTGAAAAAAAATTGGAAAATATTTTGACCTGAATGAAAATGAGCATATAACATGTAAAAACTTGTGGGATGAATCCAACAAAGTGTTTAGAGATAAATGTATAACATTAAATGCTTATGTTAGATAAGAAGAAAGATGTCAAATTAATAATCTTAAGAAAGTAGAGACCCTGAGTGGGTAGCTCAGTTGATTAGAGCATTTTCCCTATAGAACAAATTTGTAGGTTTGATCCCGGTCAGGGCACATACAGGAATCAACCAATGAATACATAAATAAGTGGAACAACAAATTAGTATTTCTCTTTCTCTCTTTCCCTCCCCGCCTAAAATCAGTAAAAAAGAAATTATGAAAAGAAGAGTAAATTTAACTCAAAATTAGTAGAAGGAAGAAAATAATGAAGATAAGAACAGAAATCAATAAAAGAATAAACAGAAAAACAATAGAGAAAATAAGGGAATTTAAAATCTGGTGCCTTGAAAAGATCAATAAAATTGTTAAAACTTTATTCAGACTGAACAGGAGAAAGAACACTGGTGACCAACATCTCAAATGAAAGGGAGAAACTCACACTACAGATCCAACAAACTTAATTATAGTTCTTATACATTTAATGTATCTATCCTTGATTTTGGTTTCCATTAGTACCAACATTTAAAGGAAAGTAGAAAGGGTTTATTGTGAACAATTCATATGAAATTGACCAAATTGCGCTCACTTGGGCAGTTTGTATGCTAAAATTGGAATGGTACAGAGAAGATTAGCATGGCCCCTGTGAAAGGATGATATGCAGATTCATGAAGTGTTCCAAACTTTTAAAGGAAAATTTGAACAACAAAAACAAAAAAAGAATAAAAAACTTCAAAAATTAAAAATATTGAAAAATTTCTAAAGAGAGACAAACTGTAAAGCTCTCCCAAAAAGAAATAGAGTATACAGATAGCCCTACATCTGTAAGTAAATAAGTTTGTGTTCATTTAGCTGAGCCCACACTAGATTCGTTTGACCCTAAAACCATTGTGCAATGAAGTGGTCAAGGTTGCTCAACAAAAACCCTCTTACTATTCTATCTATTTACCTTAAAATAGCTCCATGAGCTCATCCAACCAGTTTTCTATCCCATTTGACTCGAGGATAAAGTGATCTCAGTCACGGATTTCCAAATAGGCTTGGTTTTGCTCACGTAAGCAGATGAGTTAATTCTCAAATAGGAATGGGATGAATCATAGAAAACTTCACAAAGGAGATAAAATTTGATTTTAGTGTGCCAAGGGGAAAGGTAAGAAAAGGTTTCCTCATTTATAGTGCCATAGAACATTCTTGATGGATTTTCAGAATGGCCTCCATTTATTGGAAGTGTTATAGGAAAAAAACACAGTCTACAATGCTTAATTTCTCTACCTGGGTAACTATTGGAAACCAGGAATAAGTAGAGACTAATTAAATGCCCAAGAAACATAATCGATTGGGGGAAAGTTTTGTTTTTCTGTAATGATACAAATAAGCATTTGGTCAGAGCAAAAGTTTGAGAAAGATTTTTTAAAGTTATCAGGGGATTGAAAAATAAATTCTGTCATAGACAAATGACTTGCTTAGAGACCTAAAACAAAAAAAAGAATAAGTATTTTCTTTTCTTTTGTAAATTCATTTATTTTTTAAATTATTTTTCAACTACAGTATTCTTTCTTTTACTCCCTTCCCAGCCCATCCCCCCGTGCCCCCCACCTCCCTCCCCTTTCCACCCCCTTTAGTTGTTGTCCATGTGTCCTTTATACTAGTTCCTGTAAATTCTTCCCCTTTTCCCCTGAAATTCCCTCCCCTCTCCCCTCCAATTGCTGTCCCCCTGTCCTCGATTTCAGTGTCATTGTTTTTATTTTGCTTGCTTGTTTGTTTTGTTGTTTAGCTTCCTGTTAACAGTGAGATCATATGGTATTTGTAAGAATAAGTATTTTCTAAATAAAACAGAAGTAAAAGTAGTGGGGTTACCTGGTGTCAGTACTAGATTTGGGTTTATTTAAAATTTTTATAAATAAGTGTGGGGGTGACTTGTCCTGCTTATCCCCACCCCAACCCCTGTCCAAGTGTTTACTTGGAAATTAAACACTACCAAGACATGATCTGCTTGGGGAGGAAAGGTGGCTGATCCCTCAAAAGGGAAGGGCCCAGAGCCCCCTGCTTAAGGAGCTTTTATTGGGTTCCTTTGCACAAGAATACAGGTAAGGATCAAACAGTAGATATCATTCAAAGAACTGTGAGGGCTTATTCTTAGTCAGGGTCAGATAGCTAATGAGCAATAAAACTTTGAGGAACAAACTTCTTGCTTGGACCCTTATCATTTAAATGAGAGCATTCTAAACAAAGCAGGTTTTACAGAATTTTACATATTCTTTCTTATGCCTGATTTACCCTGATACCCGCCCTTTCCAGCACAGGGCTGCACCGCCTTCCCCAGCATAGGTTTTTAGGCTTAAGTGGATTAGAGCCAGGCAGCTTCTCCCAGACAGAAATGGGAACTTGGGCTATGTCACAGTGGGGGGGGGGGTGTCCATCGCTCCCTCTTTGTCCCCGCCCCCCAAGTCCTTCCATGATGGCCTCCCAAGTGATCGTGTCTGGCCTAGGTTGCCCCTCTGAGGGGTTGTACCCACCATGGACATCCACTGCACTTTGGGGGCAGGGGAAGAAGCAGAAGCAGCGCTTGCTGCCAAAGACAAGCTTTGTCTCCTGTGGCCCACATTCCGGAGGTCGCTCACTTAGACATGGGAGGCAGTTACAATTCCTGAAACCAGGCAGGGCAGTTCCCAACAAATAAGTGAAAACTTCAAATTAAAAAATGATATGATATTTTTTCCAGGTGGAAAAATGCCCAGTACACAGGGAAAATATGAGGCAGTATCTCAGAGGCTGGGTTAATGGACAGGGACATGGCAAATGAGCTTCTTTCTGACAGTCATAGGCTATGACGCATTTACGTAAAAAAAGTCAAATCATATTTATAAAGTGGTGAGTTTCAACATTCAATCACACTCAAAAAAATCCAGGAGTTATTGTAGACTATTACCATTCTGTGTATAAAAGAAAAATGAAATAAATATAAAAGAGAGAGGGAGAGGAATTTTTTTCTGTTTGCTTGTGAAGATATTTTAATGTCATCAGAATTGTTCCTCAAGTTCTAACCAATATTGTCAGGCATTATAAATTGCCTGGAAATGACACAATGTCACATTATACTCAAAATTCCATGCAATTAAAGAAATAAGGAGTCATCATTTTAAGAAATCCAGCAAAGATTGCTTCTCGGCCTTTTGGCTAAGCTGAAGTGAAGAAATCCAGCAAAGACTTTGAGTGCATGGAAGTGATGAGGCATAGGTTGTAATTTGTAATTACATCTGTGAGTATAGTCACACATTTCTTCTTGATTTTAGTCAGCATGAAATAATTATGTGTTCCAGATTGGAGTGTATTCAGAGTTCTGTTGAAAAAGTTCATGCAGATTTACCACTTTGCTGTAAGAAAAATCTACTCCTAATGTTATGCTTCCCTCTGGCATGCCATAAATGGACACCCTGGGTATCAGAATAGCTAGTAAGTAGAGCAACTTAAGAATAGCCTCTCGCAAATCACACTGAAGCAAATGTGCAATCCACCTAACAGAAACCAAATCATATAACACTTAAGTTTTGAGTGTATCCTCTTAATAAATTCAGGTTTGATCTTCTTTGTGGGTTCTAGTAATGCAGTTCAAGAAATGACAATGGCTTGAGAGGTTCAAGAAAACTAAGTAGAATATCAAACAAAGAATATTTAACCCACATTTCCCTCATGGAATATGACAGATACATATATATTGTAGGCCCCATACACCTCAATGCAGCATTTAGGTCCGCATAGCAATCCTTTCTAGATTTTCTCTCAGCTACTTTTTTCAGCAGCCTGTACATTTTTGAGGTTATGAAAAATATATATATACTTGAAAATCACTCTCATGGCTGCTTCTTCAGATAGATCCATGTCAGGCAGTAAACATAGCAAATGTTCACGGGGGCGGGGGGGGAACAAAACGATGAAATCACGAGAGGAATTACAGGCAATACACTCTTCATCTCCCTACTCGGAATTCGGAGAGGATCACTATTCAGTTCCCTATCCCTACTCCAAATTCCTTCACCTTGTCATTCTGAAGAAGCCTGTGTTTCTCAGTTCAGGTGAGTTCTTAAGCAAAGAGTCTGAGTGGTTTGGTCTCATAGAAAACAAAGGCTGAATTTATTAAGGGCACAAAATTTCCACAGGTAAACACCACATGCTTCCTACTTCAATGGCTTAAAATGTTACAGGAAAATGAAGCAACCAGACACCGAGGGATTCTGGAGTACAAGGTTTATTAATGTGTATGGGCCCAGAGGAGTCAGTCTCCAAATTCTGAGCCCCGAACAAAGGAGTCTTGGGGTTTATATAGTCTACGGGGTCTTCCTGTCTACGTAGCAAAGCGGGATACAGAAGCGGAATGTAGAAGTTAGTTCTAGCTATGTGGCAGAAGCAGAGTACAAAGGCTAAATGTGGAAGTTAGTTGTAGCTGCGGGGGTGCTAGTCCTAGCTCTTGTGAATATCCTGCTGTTTGCTTTCCCAAACGGCCCTATCATTCTTCCTAGGGTGCTTGAGGTTTGGGTAAACAAAGGTTCTTCAAAGCTTCCCATATCAAAATCAGGGAGTCTCTAAAGAGTCTCATATTTGGTCCTCACAACAACCATGAAAAAATCTTTGATACTGAGTGAGCGCCTTATTCTGGGAAGAGAGATAATTTACCTTTATGAAGTAAGCGGTTCATATTTCTGACCTCATTCCTTGTCTTACGCACTCAATTTTCTGTGATAAAATTTCCAAGGAGAGAATATCAAGCTGGTACTGTTGAGGATAAGCATCTTTGAATAGGGGAATGTGCCCAGAGCCTGGAGAGACGACTACATGTGAGCCCTGGCTCAGGCGTGTGACCTGGAGAAGTTCTCTGAACCAGTCTCCATCTCCTCATTCGTAGATGGTGGTAACAACAACAAGCCTACTCATCTGGTGGTTTTCCATCATGTGGATGGAACGGGCTGTGTTCGAAAATGCTTTGTAATCTGTAAAGCACCCTACTCATGCTCATTATTGTGATCGTTTCTTGTATTTGCTCACGTCATTGTTATTTCCCAAGCCAGTTTTCAGCTAGCCTCGGGATGGAATCTGAATTGTTTGAAGTGGACAATGACTGGCATTTTATCATGCCCCTCTGCTTTCTGTGCACATGTAGTCCAGAAGGACACACTGCAAAACCCTTGGCAGGTGTCCCGTCATTGTTCCCAGAGCTGGAGCCCAGTTTCTCCTTTGTCCCCTACAGCACTAATGCAAGCTAAGATTCCCCTTGGACTCTCTACAGTCCCCACCTTCAATTGCATCACTTAAGATATGTAGAAGTTGTTAAATATTTGAGTATTTATCTGGCTTTTGCTTGATCTTCAGAATGATTTGTAGACTGAGTTTTTGTACACAGGCTCTGATGGAGATTTGCTTGCAGGAAGTCAACTGGAGAGAACTCTAAGGAACACCTACTAGAGAGGGAGAGAAAAGAGAAGAGTCAGCATCCATTCAGAGGAGACAGGAGAAAACTTGGAACTGTGAGGCAGTTGCTTCAGCAGATCCCTTGCAGAGTCTAGAGCTGGAATGGCCCTTCCTCACCTGAGGCAAGGGTGCAGGGCCTTTGCACCTTCACCTCAAGTAGTCACTGGATGCTGTCTTCTCTAGGACAGCAAGGCAGCTCCCTTTGACTGAGGGCAATTCCTGGGG